ACACCCGGCGCTGCCACGGAGAGCGGAGGGCTCTCCGGGAGACAAACAATGGGAGCGCGTGGGCACATCTCCCACAGGTATAATCCACGTTTATGATGAGGAAAACGGTGGAAAAAACACGGCGTGTCTCACTTCCTAAGTGGGCACTAGCTTCACACGGCTGGATTATAACAGCAGTTACCAAAAAAGAAAAAAATCAGTGGCTAAAAAGTAAAAAAGTGAGAAGAAAAAGGGAGAGCGATGCAACACTTGCAGCCGGCTCCCGCCCGCGCATGTGTAGTATGAAGCAGTTAGCCTTTTATCTTGGATTAGAGCAGAGAAAATGGTCCGAACCAAGCGGCTACTGTTGGAATATTATAGGCCGCCTGCACTAGTTAAAACTAAAATCAGTTTAGTATTGTTTCTGTTGCTAAATTAATATTTAAACAACTTAAACATCAGAAATTATTAGGTTTATACAGCACTTGTTTGTGTAAATCTCAAAGAGCAGTTAGTTCAAGGTTAGTCTGTGTGAAATGGGAGGGAGACAAGAGTGGTTATCAGAGCAGGTGCAAACGTTGGCAGCTGGCCAGAAGGAGTCGTGGAGTCCATACAGTTGTGATGTCATTTGACCTTGGATGTATAGTATAAAGGGATGTGCAGAAGTGGTCACGGGAACTTTTTGCTTTTTCTTCTGACAAGGAGCAGTGAGACGTCCCCGAGGCCACTCCTTATTTTGGACGCGAAGCGAGACTTGTGTTCGCAGACCGTTAATATTGTAATATTGCTTGCAAATCTTCAATATAACCTTTTGAAATCAGGTTTGGTATCTGTCATTTCTATTTACTGTTTTAACATTGGTTTTTGTCTCTTGTTGAACTAAAAGGGCCTGCAGAACGAAACGGGCTGTGCGGCTGTCTGCAGCTTCTGGGGCGGGGGAATTCTGACAAATTACTGCACTACTCCACCTTGTGACCTGTCCTGCTCCAACCAGCGGCTACTCCACCTCTGCTGTTGTGACCCGCCTTGCTCCACCCAGCTACTCCATCTCTGTTGCTGTGACCCGTCCTGCTCCACCCAGCTACTCCACATCTGTTGCTGTGACCCATCCTGCTCCACCCAGCGATTACTCTATATCTGCTGCTGTGACTTGAAGGGCTGTTTCTTTTATTTTTGCTGTTATACCTGAATTTCTCCTATGGGGATCAATAAAGTATCTAGCTATCTATCTATCTAGAATGGGCTCTATGCACACACCACTTTCGTGTTTTAGTTAAAACGACAGTTGACTTCCGGTGCGCAGGGATCGGCTTGAGTTTCACTGGAGTTCACCAGATGTTTATACGAGTTATCTAAATAGTGCTCAAACAGGAATTAAACTGAGGATGCTGGGCAATATTGGGACACAACAGTGCTCTTTGATCAATGAGGATCTGTGGTCGGTCATGAAAATTCATAGTTTTTTACATCATAATCAACGGGAACCCATATGATCTAAGGTGAAACGTACCGAGCGGGAGGCCACAGGATCAACCATGAAAGACACTGAACAGCTGATAGTCAGTTGTCAAAAAAAACAGGGTAATACTGGACAATAAGCAGAGGAAGGAGACCTTCCATGAGCCCCTACCAGGGTTCAGCAATCTCAGTTGCACGGCATGTGCTTGACCGGCCATGCAGAGTCCCATGAAAAATGTATTCACAACACCCAGCTAAGGTGGTGAAATATACCAGCAACCTCCACATACCACAAACTAGCAAAGACAGTAATATCAAAGCATTGTCAACTACAAATCTTGTGTTGGGAAGGAGAATACCACAGTGAACAGAGAAACCCACAGAATGGTGCCATATACAAAAGCAGCCAGATTGGAGGAGTGCCCTGCCAGAGAAAAGCCTTTGTAATAGTGTGCAATAGCGCCTAGAACTAAATTCAGTCCAACACTGGGGGATTGTGTATGCTCATTTCTCACCATACAGTGACACATGCCATTGCAAGTGGCAGCACAGTTGTAGAGATGTGGGAGCAGACGCGAACAGCAGCCTGCACTACACAGTACACAGCTAGTAGCTGGCCATAATTGATAGCAGAGGTGTAGTAGTGCAAACAGCAGTACTCACTAAACACAATCACACACAGTAAAGCCTAGTTCAAACGAGACGATTTTAAAATTGTCGGCCGGAGATAAATAATCAAGGGTCTAACTTCTTTGGTCGTAAAGTGTGCGGTGCGCAGCCACACGGCAAAATCACGCAAACCGTACACATCACACACGAACCGATTCGGACCCGGGGGTGTCCGTTTGACGCTGGTTCGCGTCATCGCGGTTGGTTATTTTGGCGGTGGTTCTGCTTCTGGTGCGGTCCTCTGGCGGTCCTCCTTTCGGCGTTAATGCGGTGTGACCGTGGTTTCTGGGGTGCATGGTGCACTGCTTCGTCGGTAGACTGTTTCAGCGGTGCGTTTGACAACGGCGGTGTTTATGGCAGGCTTCTATGGTAGCACACTTTGACGGTGGCCCACTTGTCGGTGGCCCGCTCTCCTAATTGACCCACGCCTGTGGCCGCACGCTCCGACGCCTCGCCTCACCCTCCAACACCACGCCGGTGGCCGCTGTTCGATGCCACGTGGTGGCCGCCGTTTGACACCACGCCGGTGGCCGCACGCTTCGATGCTACGTCGGTGGCCGCTGTTTGACACCACGTTGGTGGCTGCACGCTTCAACGCCATGCCGGTGGCCGCAAGCCTTCGACGCCACATCAGTGGCCACGCGCTTCTACGCCTCGCCAGTGGCCACGCGATTCAACGCCACGCCAGTGGCCGCTGTTCGATGCCTCGCCAGTGGCCACGCGCTTCAACGCCTCGCCAGTGGCCACGCGCTTTGACGCCACGCCAGTGGGCGCTGTTTGACGCCACGCCGGTGGCCGCTGTTCAACGCCACGGCAGTGGCCGCTGTTCAACGCCACGGCAGTGGCCGCATGCTTCGACGCCACGCCGGTGGCCGCACGCTTCAACGCCACGCCAGTGGTCAAACGCTTCGACGCCACGCCGGTGGCCACACGCTTCATATATTCTACGAATTGCATTAGTCCTGGATCTATAGCCCGTCCGTACGTGTGGAGCGGATCCCTCTCTCAAAATGTGGGTCTCCCCAAGGTTTCTCATTTTTTCCCACTGGGTTTTTGAGTTTTTCCTTGCAGGAGGGTCTTTTGGACTCCCTATGGGTCAAACAAAAAGAACAGCGGTGATGATCCAGGACATTTAAGGACACTAACGATTCAGTTATTCCTGTGATGAACTGTAGTATCCGCTTACGTCACTTCCCGCAGCACAAATAATTGCTTACTGCATCAGCAGCCTCACGTCATTCCTGTAGGCCTTCGCTGCCGCCATAGAACAAATATCTTCAGGTAATCATTCATTCCGGCACCTTCCTTTTGGGGGATTTCATCTCATAATCTCTTTCCCCTTCTGCAAATGTGTAGTGCTCTGCCGGGGTCTAAGTGCTAAATCCCAACCACATTCTGTTCAGCACAATAAATGTAATCTTGAAAATAATGTCTTTAGTGTCATTTGTGTAATTATGCAGTGTCAGATTACCTGCCAACCAACATACAATTCTAATACCCGTTCGAGTCTCTCCAGATTGAAATTGCTTTCGTTGAAAATTTGACATTTACTTTAAATAATGCACTTTTGAACAAAAAAATCATACAGGTCCAGAGGAAAGGCTTTCGGGGTCCAGATTTGGACCGCGGTCTGTCAGTTGGGGACTCCTGGTATAAGGCCACACCTCCACCGGCTGCGTAAATGTACTACGTATCAGTCCAAACGTGTCCGTTTCGTCTCCGTCTCTGTTTTCTCCATGAGGGGGAATGGAAGTGGCTCCACTGCCCGCAACATGCGTCCGTATGACGCGTGTAGGGAGCAGTGAGTCCACGCAGGGTGCAACGGACACGGACGGACAAAATAGAAACAATCCTATTTTTTACGTACGTCGACGTGCTTATGGTCAGTTTCCATTGGAAATCCAAAGGAAAAATATATTTACTACATTATTATACATGTATGGACCACAGGACGAGGAGCCTCCCCCATTCAATTGTTCACATTCCAATGTGACGTCTGTTACGCCTTTCCTGTTTTAAGCCCCCCGACCGTGGTCGAGGAGCGCAGGGGAGATCCGTTGCTCCAGGGCCGAAGGGATGCTCCCTTCTCAGTTTGACCCTCACTGTCAAAGTGTGGTGTAGTTTCAAGGACTCTCCGGACTGTTGCTCAAGAGTGGGGCTTTATGTTTATCCCAATCCAACATACCGTGATGCACTCGTTCCCTGTCTTGCTCCGGACGTACTCGCTCTCACGCCAAACTTTACATACACTCCGCTCTCCCAGTCTCTGTCTACCTCGAGGCGCGCTCCCGTCACCGCCGTGCGCCTCCACACACACACACACACGTTCCCACAGAGCTACTGCACTTACAGTATGAGATAGACAGATCTCACAACACGTCCAATCACACAGCTCATGCCAATTACACACCGCGTCTTTTATTTGAATGGTCTAACATTGCCCTAAACACGCAATGTTCTCAGCTTTGCTGGCACAGCCAGAGCTGCGCACTGCTGCTGCCGGTATGGCCACTATTCCGTTTTACGCACGTCTGACGGGCTGCAGCCTACGTGCGTAAACTGAGACGCGGCCGGTGGAGTCCAGCACTAAGATATGCCACATTAAATTTTTACGCCAGGTGGGACATTTAACAAGGGTTCTTAAAGTGGTTGCCGCCGGTCCAGTATTTAATTGTTCTATAAAAGGTATTTTTCCTCTTTTATGTACAATATGATCTGTTTCTGTAAAATCTGTCTAATAAATCGCATTGTAATTACGCTCTGTCTAATGGTATTATAAGCAGGTAAAGTAAAAAAAGAGTCAGTCCTATGTTTGAAAAAATTATACTGCTTATGATATTAATAATTCCAAATCAATATCACATTGATGTTAATAATGACATGTTTCTACGTACTGTGGGTGGATGTGGATCTGCTCCACTGGGACTATGTCAGTCGTGGTCTGAGCGCGGTTCTTCTTCCATAGAGAGAACTTCACCATGAATGCAGAAGGTTGAGGTCTGCCACAAAAAAAAAAAACATAATTGCCTTAAGTGCATAAATCATTACTTTGATCCATTTGAAAATACATGCGTTCAATTATTTCTGTTCATTTTAGCGCTTATCGTTTGTATAACACACCAAAAAGCTCTTGATGACGTGCAAATGTGAGAGAACAATCACAAAACAAGTGGGTATTCAAGGGTGGGTATGGGGCAACAGTAGCTCAGTTGGTAGAGCATTGGCCTTTGAGCCTGAAGGCCTTTGTGTCCTTGGGCACAATGATAGCAGACAGCAATCACTTAATATGTCTTAAGACATATGTATTCAGACTGGCTTTTAATACTCAGTAGCACGGCAACACTGTAGTTTCTCATGGTTTTATCTGACTGTTTTTATTGTTTGGTTGTATAAATGTTTTTAACAGATTTTATGTGATTTAATTGTAAAGCACTGTGGTCGCCTTGTGTCTTGTAAAGGGCTCTATAAATAAAATTGTATTGATTGATTGATTGGGCAAGACACTTAACCCCACTATGCCTGAAGCCCCCACTGAAAGACAGAGCAACCTCCTTGTGGACTCACCACCTGCAGGATCAGTGAGGAGCTGGTGCTCAGTGAACTGGGTGCAGCTGATTGCCACCCTCCCAACCCAGAAATAGGGAAGAATATGTATGGAAGAATGGAGGGTATTCCAAATAGATTATGAATAGAAGAATAAATATTATTCATTTACTGACATTTCAGCCATTATAGCCTTCATCATTCCTTTGTCTATTTGGAGCGCAATAAACAAAATGGCCACCAGCCCAGGTGCTCATATAGTGGTAGGGGAAAGGCCCTGTGATGAAGGTGGAATCGAACACAGGACATCTCTGCTGTGAGTTAGTGCTAACCACTGACCACTGCTGTTGAGCACCTGGACATTGCACATTACTTTTAAAGTGTGTTATACAGCAGGATGATTAAATGAGTTGGTAAACATGCTAAATATGTATTGTGTCAAACAATGCAGAAACACTTTATATTTCTCCTCTGTGTCTGTTAATCGTTGTTAAAACGATTGCATTTTATATATATATATATATATATATATATTTACATATTCAATTGTTTTTTGTTTTTATTTAAATAGGCCAAAACACAGATTATTCAAACATTTAATTAATAGTCGTGGTCCCGAAGAGCTACCAGCTCCCATAGGGAATATGAGGGACGTTAACCAAATCAGTCAACCAAAATTCATACAGTATATAAATATATTGTAAAAACATTTTATACATGTATATTAGACAAAGATTGATATTTTAATATACTTATATTTATATATAAATATATTTAAAAGTATATTGATCCAATGACCGGGTGTGATGCGGGCCACGGCTAAAAATATGTGTGCATGAGTGCACTGACTCCGACTCAGTCACTATATAGCCAACAGTGAATGGGTATAGTGCATCGGATACTCCCAGGATATCTCACCAACCACGGCACGTCCAGCCACTATATAGTCCCGAACTATTGGACTCATCTCCATCAACGATGAGGAGGGAGTTTTTGACCGGGCTGGTGTCCTGGTAGTGGTAACAACCTGGAGCTGAACGCCCAGAAGACAGTAGAGATGCTTGTGGACTTCAGGAAGAGCACAGTCCCTCCCGCCCCCCCCCTCCCACCCTGATGGACTCCCCCATCACCTCTGTAGGAGTCCTTTCGTTTCTGGGCACCACCATCACTCAGGAACTCAAGTGGGAGCCAACCTCAGCTTCCTCCTCAAGAAGGCCCAGCAGAGGATGTACTTTCTGTGGCAGCTCAGGAAAGCCAAGCTGCCTACACAGATGTTGGTGCAGTTCTACACGGCCATCATCGAGTCCATCCTCACCTCCTCCATCCACTACAGGAGCATTATGCGCTATGCAGAGAAGGTGATCGCTGCAGCCTCCCATCGCTACAGGACCTCTACAACGCCCGAGCTCGAGGCCGGGCTGGTTGTATCACAGGCCGACCCCTCTCACCCTGCCATAGACTGTTCCAACCTCTCCTCGGGCAAGGAGACTACGGCCCATTCGGACCAGAACCTCCCACCATAAGAACAGTTTCTTCCCCTGTGCTGTTGAGACTCTTGAACACTTCAACCTGTCCCTCACCCTTTAGTACCCGCCCTCTATAACTCACTTTATGCCATCATACGTCACTTTACTTCTGTACTGTATGCCTGCTCTACCATATGTGTGCACCATGTGCACTTGTATGTTGTGCATATTCGTGAACTGTGATCGTACAAATTGTAACTTTCAATGTTATACCTTAGAAGTGTCTGCTGATTTATTCTTATTGCCTTATCTATATCTTCTTTGACTGTAGCCCCGAGCCCCAACAGCAATTTCCACGTCTGTGCTTTCTTGTTCTTACCTGGAATACAAATGATTCTGATTCTGACAATGACTTTCAGAGGAATTTTTTTATTTTTAATGTTAATAATTATTTTGTTTTTGTTTTTTTTACTTGATGAATCTATCTCTGCTATTCTATGTTCTTTGGTTTGCACACTTCATCACAACGGGCTTTCAGCGCCTGTCACTTATTACTACTGTCTGTGCGAGAGAAGCTATCGGAGCTAGCCAAGCTCAACAGACACGAATAACAATCAGTCAATTATCTGTTACAGTTTCAATGCGGCAAAAAGCGATCGCGGTAAACCCGGAAGTAACTATTAACATTAGTAGAGCATTTTAGAAAACATTTGCGGAGGATCTAGTTATGGATTTAGGTTAATTTTATTTTTGGGTCACTCACAGCTGATGTACAGAATTCTTTGTTCTTTGTAGTTCCAGAGAGTTCTGGTTAGTTAGCTAGCCTAGCTGTTACCCCCATGTCACGACGAAACCATTGGGAACTATGAATATTAAGGGCTATCATATATATATATATATATATATATATATAATCCACCAAGACCAGGCCGTCCCTCCAAACTTTCATCTCAAACAAGGAGAAGACTGATCAGAGATGTAGACAAGAGGCCCATGATCACTCTGGATGAACTGCAGATAACTACAGCTGAGGTGGGAGAGTCTGTCCATAGGACAACAATCAGTCGTGCACTGCAAAAATCTGGCCTTTATGGAAGAGTGGCAAGAAGAAAGCCATTTCTCAAAGATATCCATAAAAAGTCTTGTTTAAAGTTTGCCACAAGCCACCTGGGAGACACACCAAACATGTGGAAGAAGGTGCTCTGGTCAGATGAAACCAAAATCGAACTTTTTGGCCACAATGCAAAACGATATGTTTGGCGTAAAAGCAACACAGCTCATCACCCTGAACACACCATCCCCACTGTCAAACATGGTGGTGGCAGCATCATGGTTTGGGCCTGCTTTTCTTCAGCAGGGACAGGGAAGATGGCTAAAATTTATGGGAAGATGGATGGAGCCAAATACAGGACCATTCTGGAAGAAAACCTGTTGGAGTCTGCAAAAGACCTGAGACTGGGACGGAGATTTATCTTCCAACAGGACAATGATCCAAAACATAAAGCCAAATCTACAATGGAATGGTTCACAAATAGACGTATCCAGGTGTTAGAATGGCCAAGTCAAAGTCCAGACCTGAATCCAATCGAGAATCTGTGGAAAGAGCTGAAGACTGCTGTTCACAAACGCTCTCCATCCAATCTCACTGAGCTCGAGCTGTTTTGAAAGGAAGAATGGGCAAGAATTCCAGTCTCTCAATGTGCAAAACTGATATACCCAAAGCGACTTGCAGCTGTAAAAGCAGCAAAAGGTGGCGCTACAAAGTATTAGCGCAAGGGGGCCAAATAATATTGCACGCCCCACTTTTCAGTTTTTTATTTGTTAAAAAAGTTTAAATTATCCAATAAATTTTGTTCCACTTCACGATTGTGTCCCACTTTCTTGACAATTTTTTTAATTTTTATATCTTTATGTTTGAAGCCTGAAATGTGGCAAAATGTTGAAAGGTTCAAGGCAAGGCACTGTATGTATGTATATATGTATATATATATATATATATATATATATATATATATATATATATATTATATACACATAATTAGGGATGTGAAGATTCACCGATTTGCATCGATACAAACGATGCAACTACACGGATACATTCATGGCGCATCGGATATTGGCGGGGCACCTCTTCCAGCCTGTCTGCATCGGTAGATTCCATGTTAAATCGATTCTATTCCCTGGTCTGTCATATTTCCGAGGCAACCTGAATGCACCATCGCTTTCTCGGGCTCTGACGTAAGCTTCGGGTCCAAAACAAGCATGAACGCTCACATAAACGGCAAGGAGATTTTTAATGGCCCCAAAAAAACAAGTCAAGCGTGCAGAAATGCCGGTGTAATGCCGAGATACACTGCCTTGAAGAGATGCACTGCCTCAGCTGTTTATGATGTAATGCAAACCTGCGCATGCGCGTCCCACGGCAGCCGAAGCATACCAAGATGGCGGACCGTGAATTGCTTTAAAAGTTAAAATAAGAACGAATTAAGACACAAATGTCACTTTTAATGCAATTTGAGGCGAGATGTTGATGGTTCCGTTTTGTCACATGTGGGTTTTAAGAGTCAAAGTTTTGTGCAAAGTTTAGTTTAAGCAGTCAACTGCGCCTGTGAAACCACAAAGCTAATGTTTTCATAGCAGTTCGCGGCTGCTGACGTAGGCTGATGACGCAGGCTGATGACGCGTCCTGTGGCCACTCTACAGCTTACAACTGGTCTGTTGGGTTGATAATGGAAAATGGGGAAAAAAATCGATCTATTTAAATATTTTGTTTGAACACACTATTGTTAATCATATTGAATACAGTACGATACATGTACTGTATTAAATTAAATTAATGATTTCCATTATCAACCCGACAGACCAGTTTTTTATTTGTTAAAAAAGTTTAAATTATCCAATACATTTTGTTTCACTTCACGATTGTGTAATCTTTAATCTTTATTTATATACCGCCCTTCACAGACCGGAG